GAATTTGAGCAAAAGTGATGAGTTAAATCAGAGCTTCTTTTGGCTCATCTACCTACTAAATTAAGTTCTAGAATTGAGGAACAGTCGTGTAGGAGGAAACCTGAGCCCAGGAGGGGGAACCTGAGAGTTCTGCTACTATGACCAATGCCTGATAATCAGCTTAGAAGAGAAAAGGTTTATTTTGGAGGCTTCAGTGGATGGTTAGATGGTCCAGTTGACTTTGGGTGAGGCAGTACATCACTGTGGCAGCGTGTGGTAAAACCGTTCACCTCATACCCAGGGACCAAAGAGAGAGAGAGAGAGAGAGAGACCATAGTCCTACAATCCCCTTTGGGGGCACACTCCCAGTGGCCTAAAACCTCCCTCCAGTCCCCACCTGTTAAAGTTCCCACCATCTTCTAAAAGTAACACTTTGGGGAACAAATGTTTTACACATGTGTCTTTGGGGAATATATTCCAGATCCAAAGTATAGCGAATCTCTAACAGAATATGGCTAATGGGCCAGCCATGGTGGCCTGCACCTATAATTTCAGCATTCGGGAGACAGAAACAGGAAGATGAAGAGTTTGAGGCTGGTCCAGGCTACATAGTGAAACCCTGTCAAGAAGGAAGGAACAAGGGAAGAAAGGCAGAGAGGGAGAGAGGAAGAGAGGGAGAGAAGGAGTGAAGGGTGGAACGGAGGGAGGGGGGAAGGGATAAAAGGAGGGAGGGAGGAAGGAAGGAAGGAAGGAAGGAAAGAAGGAAGGAAAGTAAGAAGGAAGGAAGGAAGGAAGGAAAAAAGGAAAGAAGGAAGGACGGAAGGAAGGAAGCAAGGAAGGAAAGGAAGGAAATGGCAAATGGAATGAGCCAAAGACCCAACTGGACTGGTTGATGAGGCAAGCAGCCATATTGAAAAAGCCCAAGTGGCAAGGAATTGTGGGACTCTTCTAGAACCTGAGTTGGCTAATAGCTAACAAAAAGTAGGGGAACTTCAGACTTGCATTCAGCCCACCACCTCAAGAACATGAAGTCTGCCAACAACCAGAATGCAGATTCTTTTCCAATGAGGCTTTCAGATGAAAACCAGCTGGCCTGACCAGAGGATCCAACAAAACTGACCTTGGACTCCTGACCATGGAAACTCTGAGTGTGGTTTTAAGTCACTAAATGTATGGTGATTTGTTAAACAGCAATAGAAAACAAATACAAGGAGGTCAAGTTTCTAACCCCGGGTCACACAGGAGTTGTGGGACTGGATATCCAACCCAAGTCCCTCTACCCAACACTCATGTCCACCAGGGCCACGCCCTGTTCTCCTGGTCCCAAACTTTTAAGATTGTTTTAGGTCCCAGCCTGCATCCAAAGACATGACTCAGCTGGTTATGTGTTCCCCTAGTCACTTAGACAAAAGATCTGATCTGCTCACCTAGAGGATCACACAGTGTTTCCTCTATACTGAACTGCCTGACAGAGCAGCAGCAATGTAGGTTCATCATGAGCGCTATTTGAGGAGTTACGGTGACCAGCAGGCTTGGAAGAACCTCCTGAAAGGTGCACCCACCCCACCCACACCCAGGGGTCACAGTTGTGAAGATTACTCACCTACTCAGTAGCCTGGATGGCCTCGGCAGATCTTTGCTGTAGGAGATGTACTGCCTGGTGGTTTCAGTGTAACACTTCCTATCTCCTTTTAATCAGAATGGACAATCAGGTAGCTGAGAGCTCCCAGAATTCTCTGCAAATATCAATTTAAGGAAAATAATTATGGCATTTAGATGTGGTGCTGTGTGTGCTTCTCTTATTCTCTTGTAAAAGTATTTGTAAACTACATGAGCTAATTTACTCTTGCACTAAAAACAGAATGATTTTAAGAGATGGATGAAAAGTTGTCTTATATATCCTAAAACCTTAGTTGTTCACCCCTCCAAAATCACATCACTAGCCAGAAGCTGCAAGTGTCTTGTTTTCTAATAAGCTGTCATATAACTTTTTTTCTTGTTTTAATATATCCTCCTATAAGGATGAATTGAAAAATCAGTAACAAAGGGAAAAAAAGGGAAGTATATGTATTATGTTTTGTCATTACTGCCCTCACAGTTGGAAGTACATAAAGAAGTAAATGTTAGGACGGGAGGCCTGGCTCCAGCAGGTGCAAGTCACTGGGTTCAATCCCTAGTACTTAAAAAAAAAAATGACACACTAAGTAAGTGCCTGTTTATGGCTTGTCTGTTTACACATTCACTTGCTAATTCAACACGTTTGCCATATACCTACCAAGTACAGAAGTTCACTACATACGTGGGAGTAATACAAAGAAATAGACGTATGGTCTCTGATCTGTTTGGGTTAATTCAGGAATAGAGAGCCACTGAGATGTATCTATCCACACACGTGTACAGACAAAGGAGCCCGAAGGATGTGCATCGCAGTGTCACCCGTCATTACAGTGAATCATCTGATTGCCTCTGGGTGTGAGAGTATATGTAATTTTTTTAAAACTGTATTTCTTAAACAGAAATAGCCTTTAAAATACAAATGTATAGTGTTAAAGATTTAGGGGCTGATAACATGATACCCCAAAGTATGGTGTCTTTCCAACTGAAGGAGCCTGGAAGGGCTTTATTTATTTATTTATTTATTTATTTATTTTCATTATTGTTTTGAACTTTTTTTTTCTTTTATTATTCATATGTGCATACAAGGCTTGGTTCATTTCTCCCCCCTGCCCCCACCCCCTCCCTTACCACCCACTCCGCCCCCTCCCTCTCCCCCACCTCAATGCCCAGCAGAAACTATTTTGCCCTTACTTCTAATTTTGTTGTAGAGAGAGTATAAGCCATAATAGGAAGGAACAAGGGGTTTTGCTGGTTGAGATAAGGATAGCTATACAGGGCATTGACTCACATTGATTTCCTGTGCGTGGGTGTTACCTTCTAGGTTAATTCTTTTTGATCTAACCTTTTCTCTAGTTCCTGGTCCCCTTTCTGGAAGGGCTTTAAAAGCTGAGGTTCTCTCCAGCCTTCCCACACTTCTCCTCCCCATCCTTTTTCTCCCCCAAAGCAGGCCCTAGCAACCAAGAATTCCTCTTCCCCAATGCAGAAGGGAGTCACAGAAACTAGAACTCCTCTCCCCCTCAGAAGGTATGAAATCTAGAGAGACCCCCTCTGACCTGCCTCCCCTGAAAGCAGATCACAAGAGACTCATTCCAGAAAGCAATTCTGCTTCCCCAAAGCAATTCCAAAACTTAAGATCCTTACGTAAGTAGCTAAACATTTAGTCTTTGCAGACATCTCGAGTTGCTAGTCTAGCTAAGATTAATGGGTTTTGATGTATAAATATTTCAGTGAAAACTTGTAACAATTTATCCCTTGAGAGTTGTTACTTGGTATGAGAAAAATTCCTCAAGTTTATTCACTACTCATTGGTGTTAAGTCAGCTTTCTCTTGCTGTGACAAAATACCTGAGATAAACAATCTATAAGGAGGAAAGGTTTATTTGGGTTCACAGTTCCAGAGCTGCATGGTCAGCTAGCTTCATTGCTTTTAGGCCTATGGCAAGGTGGATATCATTGCGGGGGCACATGATAGAGCAAAGCTGATCACTTCACAGCAGCCAGGAAGCAGAGAGTACATTCTTTTATAACAAAGCTCCTCCCTCCAGACCCATTAGGTTAAGTAGGAATCCATAAATGGACTAATCCACTCATGAGGTCAGAGCCCTCATGATCTAATCACCTCCCGAAAGCCCCACCTCTGAGCACTGCTGCACTGGGGACCAAGCATTCAACAATTAGGTTTTGGGGGACATTTGAGAGCCAAACCATGTTTTATTAGTATGCTTTACAGCCAACTATCATTTAAATCTAAGCAACAACCTCATTTTTTGTGTCATTTTTTTCCTAGTCCCCATGCCTGCACAGGTCTACTGGCTCCCTCTAAAGGCAACAATTTTACTTCCATAAATGAACATGTTTTAGTTGCTTAAATAAGTTGCTGCCTCACCAGAATATACATCTGAATTAAGTCACCTCCTGGCTTAGTTGTATGTGCCACAGACATTGATGGATTCATCTAATCAATAAGCCATGAGACACAGCAGACATTAAAACTCCTGGACTCTGAAAGCATGAGTCACACACAGCCACATGACACCTGTAAGATGACAATGACTGTGCTCTCCCAGTGGCTTCATTAAGTATACTGGCCAGCAAACTTTGGCTTGGGCACCACCTAGTGGCAGGAAATAATTTTTAAACTCCTACTGCTTCCTGACATTTGCTAATCTTTGTACTTAGCTTGTACTGATTTGGAAAATCTGTTTTTTCTTGATCTATGTTAGTAATTTATTTTTCAGTGTTTTTACTTAAAAAGATTAAGCCCTTCTATTCCTACTTCTGAATACTTATCTTTTACATTGGGAAAATGTATCAATCAAATAACTATTTTAGCTAAAAATTTAAATTTAGCCTCACAATTAAGAAATGTATTTTAACTGAAATTCTAATTACATAAGAGTATTCAAATTCTTCTCACATTGAATATCCTTATAATCACCCGTCAGAGGGAAAATGTATATATTTCTGAAAGCAAGCTGCTTATTAGACCTGCTGTCTTTAACTTAACCTAGCTATACAAATCAAATCATGCATAACGATACACACACTTAACTTTTTTATTGTTTTTTAATTGTTTGTTTTGAGATAGGATCTAGCCAGAACGACCTCCAACTCTCCATCCTCCTACCTCTGCCTCCTAAATACTGGGATTACAGGTGTATGCCAGCAAGTCTGCTCACACTTAATTTTTAAATAGATTCTTGACTGAATCTAATGTTTGTCTTGTGATTCAACAGAGATAAAATATTTGCAGTAATACAGAACAGATAAGCAATGTTTTAAGAAAAGATATTTATTATTTACACCACTGAAACAATCCTGTAAGAACAATATACACCATGTTTATTTAAAAGGATCCATTCCTTTCAAATACAAGAACTGTATAAAGCAATACTGTCAACACAAAACAGTGGTCACGTTACATATCTGCAGGCTTAAGCATTGCAAATAAAGATATATATTTTTAATTTTATGGCTAGATATTTTCACTGAAACATAGTATTAGCACTTAGACAAGATACAGCTGGAACAGAACAAAAATTTGTTCATGCTTTTTAGGGCTAAATTGGTGATATGACCCATCTTAAAATTTATCACCTTTTTCTGCATTTATGACAATGGTCTTAGGCATAAGTGCTTACACTCTTGTTCTTTAGTTTGGTTCTTCAGTCTGTTTTCTGTTTCTCACTCTCTGATGCATGTGAATCACAACTGATGTTCTCATCTCACTTGAAGAACACTGACCCACAAAAACCAAACTGAGACAGCCCAGAATATAGAGGGGTAACTAGAGGAGGATAAAAACTTTGTGACAAAGGAATAAAAAAATTCTTGGTAGTTTTAAGAATAACAAACTAGGTTCTTTATTCAAAAACTGGGGGGATTTTTTGGTTTCAAAGGGGGAAAAACACTAGTTTTAAGACCGATTTGGTCTTCGATTTAGGTAAATAACACAATGAGACACAACACAAGGCATAACTTATTTCCAAAAGTTACAAATGACACTATTGAGTATACATCTCCCTCCCCTTTTTTCTTTCTTCCATTATTTATTTATTTTTTTGGTTGGGTGGAAAACACCTCAATTACCAATGCTGGAGAAAAAAGTTTTCAAGAGAAACAGTACACTCACATAGAAGAAATGTTTAGCATATTGCTATGATCTTCAAAAAATATAAAATTAAATTTACAAAAAAACTGGAAGACCAAGAATAAGCCGTCTGGTATTTGCTTCAGTGGCCAGCACTATCAGAGTAATTTCTAGCATAAAAGCAAACAGTTCGTGGATCTCAAGTATCTTCAGTAACTGCCAGTGTGACCTGTAACTACTGTCCTTGCTTCTTCGAGAGATACCTGCAAGAAACAGAGTCACATCAAAGCCTTGTGTGCTGAACTCACGGGAATAACCTACATCTCCATAAAGTAAAGGAGTTTACTTTAGTGACAACTAAAGGGTAACTATTTTCTGTTCATATCACGAACTTACAGCTTATATGCCAAGCACTGTTCACTTTAGCCTTCACAAGTTAGTCCTGAAAGGTACATAAGGGAAATCTACCCAAATTCATACAGCTAGAAAGTGGCAGAGCTCAGGCAAGGTATGGTGGCACACATTTATGATCCCAGCTACACAGGAGGCAGAGATCAAAGCCAGCCAGGGCAAAAATTAGCAAGACTCCTATCTCAACCAACAAGCCAGACATACTGGTGCATGCCTATAATTCCAGCTGCACTGGAGGTATAGGTAGGAGGATCTCTGGCTGAGGCCGGCCCTGGGCAAAAATGCAAGAACTTATCTAAAAAATAATGAAAGCAAAATAGGGCTGGGGTATGACTCCAGTGGCAGAGCACTGGCCTAGCAAGCAGAGTTCAAAACCCAGAATGGTGGGAGAGAAAAAGAAGTGGCAGAGCTCAGATTCAAAATAAGACACCAGAGGTTTCACTCATTAACTGACTACTTTCACTAGGACTGTAATTTCTAATCAATCAAACTCCATTCAAAGATCTTTCTCTTTTTTTTTTTTTTTTTTTTGCAGTGCTGGGGTTTGAACTCAGGGCCTACACCTTGAGCCACCCCATCAACACTTTTTTGTGATGGGTATTTTCGAGATAGGGTCTCACAAACTATTTGCCTGGGCTAGCTTCAAACCACAATCCTGAGTAGCCAGGATTCCAGGAGTGAGCCACCAGCACTTGGCAATTTTGCTTTTCTTGCATGGAGATGGCAGCCGAAGAGGCGCTGAAAGACGCTCGCTAGTGCACAAGGCTCGAGCCGTCTACTTTACTACACAACAGCTTTTGCCCCTAAGTGAGAATGCCGGTCTAGCTCTCACTTATGGACTGTAGCTGGCAGGGGAGGGGCAGAGAGGTCTTACAACAGGAAGTGTGCTGAGCAGTCACACTGGCTCAGCTACAGCACCAAGACCTGAACGTGAGGATAAAAACACTGCTTTCTGTTCCTAACATATCCCAAGGTTCCAAGAAGGAGCCATGTGTTGAAGGGATCTGAAAAGCTGAAAGTGGATTTGAAAACCCAGTACATTGGTACATGCTTAGTTTCTCTTGTTCCTATATTACTGGACCAGGTCCTTAAAGATCTAATTCCAAAATAATTACTCATGGTCCACAGTGATCCCTTGTATTTCTCTGGAGGCTTTTGTCTGCCTTAAAACCTTGATGTCAGTGTGTGATTTACATTAGATCTTGTGTATGTGCCTGTGCTCAGAAGAGCAGAAGATGTACCTCAGTGTGCAGTCATGGTCATCTTTAGAAATCACAGCCGTGACCAACTGTTTTCAGAAGACAGTTTTCCAACTCTTCTGCTACACACACAAGCTCCTTGCAATTTTTACAATATTCAGCAAGTTTTTAAATATATTTTATCCTGAAATTATCTTACAGTATAAGAACAGAGATTAAATCCCATGTGAGCTGGGTGGTGGCTCACGTCTGTAATCCCTCCAGGATTACAGTCAGGAGGCTGAGGCAGAAGAACCTCAAGTTCCAGGCTAGCCTGGGCTACAATGCAAGAACCTGCAAAAAAGAAAAAGGAAAGAAAAGAAAGAAAAATTCCCATGTGATTCGTAGGAGAGTGGGCTGCTGAATGTTAGAAAATCACGTACAGGTGGCATCATGAATGGGTACCAGTCTTAAGCCCTCTCTAACTGAAGTATTAAAGAGCTTTGAGACATGGGATTATGAGTAAGTCAAGGGTTAATGCGAAAAGGGAGAATACTTTCGGGTGATAACACTAGATTAGAAAGTATTTTTAGAATTCCCTCATCTTCAATAAAAATTCCCTCATTTTAAACAAAAAAATTCCCATAATTATAGAGATAATAAATAAGCAATTATCACTTACCTTTCCCAATATTTGTGATTTAGCTCCAAAAAGTCATCTAATTTTGCTATCTCCTTGAGATACTGAGTTAATTTTAAAAGTTCTTTGTCCTTATCACGATTTAGATGTGCTTTCATAAAAGGTCTTATCTATGAGGAACAGCAAAAGTTTACACTGTGATAAGGAAAACTAACAAAACCCTGCACTGCTGCTGTATCATTTAAACTAGAGTCACTGAGGCCAAAATATCACGACATCATCGATACTGAAAATTACTTTTGTATTAGCCCAAGTTTAACGAACAGGAAGTTATATATGTTAATGATACAAACCAAATGCTCTTTTGCTGGTTACCTAATATTTACTCTGCAGTCTAAACCTGAAGCATCAGCTTTCGTACAGACCTTGACTCGGACATGGTTACTCTGAAAGACTACTTACACTCCCCCTTCTATCAGCTTACTTGCATCGTACCAATAAATTTCATTTACATTTAATAAGTTAAATTTACATTCAATAAATGTCATTCATAAAAAGTTAACTCAAATACAAGCTTGATCTAACCACCAGAGTGAGAGAAATTTTAAGTGATGACTTTCATTTTGGTATTTTTCTATGTAATTTTTATACACATTTCTATAGCCTGTTTTCTACCACATTTTAACAGCAGCATTTTTCTTTAATCATTAAATTCTTCACAAAAATTATTTAATTATCCAAAAATTTCCCATAAAAAGGAGTCACATTTTCCAAATTTTAGAATGAAAGACATTCATTTAAAAAGCATTACTTCAAACTCTAAAAGTCATGATAGCAGGAATGGGGGGATCAAAACAAGAGATATTATATATCTTCACTTGGCTGTTAGTCATATGAGTTATCGTTATAACAATTTGTTAAATTATAAGTTTTATGTACTTTTATGTTACTGCCCCAGTAAGAGGTTTTTTTGTTGTTGTTTTATTTTTTTTTGTGGTACTGGGGTTTGAACTCAGGGCCTACACCTTGAGCCACTCACCAATCCTATTTTTGTGATTTTTTTTTTTAGTTAGGGTCTTGTGAACTATTTTGCCCTGGCTGGCTTCAACCCTCGATCCTCCTCTTGAGTAGCTAGGATTGCAGGCATGAACCAGTGCCCAGCTTGCTTTTTTCTTTAAGACATCAGTTTGAATATCTTTATATACCTCAAGATAGCCTTCTAAACTTTTTAATTAGTTTTAAACAAAATTTTTATGTCTGGGATTTGTTTCAAATTAAAGAGACTTAAATAAAATAGGGTATTGAGCAAATTAAATTGTCTGGGAACTTATAAAGTATTTAAACTAGATGGTATGTGGGGATTCATTATGTAACTCTATACAGTTCTGAGTATATTTAAGTTTTCTGTGAAATGTCTCTTAAAAGAAAAAAGAAACAGCACAGAACTGGCAGTGGAGCAGAGTAGTAGAGCATGTGCCTAGCACACATGAGGTCTGAGCTCCATACCAGCACCATACTCCACTCTACAAAAATCATACAAACTCCTTAAGCACACATGTAAAGACTGAATACACTTAGGAAGCACTAATATATACCCTTTATTCTGACATGGAGAAAGTTCAAATTAGTCATTTGTTATTAATTTTACAGAGGAACATTGAAGATCAGGGTAATGTTTAATCACTGTCACTTGCTGAGAAGTAAGAACAAAGAACTCAAAGAAATCCACTACCATATCCACCAAGACCAGGGAAGATGTTACTATTTTTTACATTCTTTTCTTCTGTCATCAGAAAGGCACACCACCAGCCTGAGGTGGACAGATGAAAAATCTCCCAGAGGCTCTGCGCTCATCAGAGCAGTGGTACACAGGCTCCTACAGCTTCCTGGGAGGCTCCATTCTGCCTTGAGGGGATAATCAGTGTCGTCAGAATGAGTCTGCTCAGATGAGAGCACTGTGGGAAATCCCACATCTACACGGGCATCACAGCAACAGCAGTGAATATGGGGGAGCCCAAAGACACTCTGCCATCCCCTGGCTTCAGCTCTGCAGCTGTGGTGAACAACAAGGTATGCTGGTGGAATGAAATAGTGTCTGCACAGTTCTGTGCAAAATGGGAATATTTCAAAGTATTCCTTCATTCAACTGCTAAAGAATGTAAAAGCAACACATTAACTTTTAAATTATTAATACACAATGTGCCAAAGTGATTCCAAGTTTAAATAGCAGAAAGAAAGAAGTTAGGCCTGAAAGAAAAAGTACAGGGATAGTGACTGGTACGTAAGATTTTCAACCAAAAGTCCTACTAAGTTACTTTTGCCTTACAACCAGTTGGTCTTACACAAAATTGAACAACAAAACTAAATTACTGCAATGATTCAGTTTTAGAGAACTCAAAATAAACTAATTAAAGGCAAAACAAAATCTGTTAGGCACCTAATGATTACTTTTTCTAGCATAATCACTGCATACCATGCCATTTTTCCAAAATTGAGCTAAATGCTTACTAGCAGGGCAGGCAACACAGATGATCACCACCTTCCTGCAATCAAAGAGACATTCCAAGGAACTAAACATCATCCACCCTATCTAAACTGTCTTACATCATTATTTTCTTATGTAGAGGACAAAAATGAAGTTTTCAGAACTGCTAAAAGTTTACATGTGACTGTGGATGAAGAAAGAGCAAGCATTTCCTTAGGGTAAAGTAGCTATGTTTACCCAAGACAACAGCTGTTCTATTATGGAAATTTACTCACTGTACACTAAAGACAAGCCAACAGACTTACTTTCTGCAAGTTTTTCTCTTTTTTGTGTTTTAAAATTACCAAGAACCTACCTGGCAGAAAAGTTCAAGACTAAGAATGCAAATATCTTCTTGTTAGGATTTCCACTTTAAATGGAGACTCCATTTACATTAGTACTGTAATATACAAGTATCTTTTTCATTTTCATATCATGCCAACACGTAACCAACCATGGATGGGCACCAGAAAATTTAAGTTTCAAATTTCTCTGCTACCAATTTTATGCTGCTACCAGGATTAACTGTCCCTATCACGTCTGCACAAGACTTCTTGTGGCTTCATGCTAAGGTCATCACTGACCCAAGAACCAAGTCACTAAGATTCTGTCATGAACCAGTCACACACATGATCATGCAAATAATGAACTTTCTAATCTCAGATTTCTAAAGTTAAGAAAGTAGACGAGATAACTGTGGTTCCTGCTATCACTGGCATTTTATAATTCTAAGATACCTGTACTTGACCTGTAGGAATTTCAAAACCTCTTTAGTATCAGTTCAAAATTTTAAAAAGTCCCACTGCTGGTCTCCAGAAGATGAGAAATGCTAAGATATGCATCCCTAATAAAATGTCCAATTTCACTTCTGATGCCTCAAGTCAATGTCATAGCTCATGTTTCCCAGAGGTAACTTCAAAGTAAGCACTTGGATGAGGTGGCCAAATGAGGAGCTATCCATGCAGAGGACCGACAGTTCACTTTTACGTGAACTTTTCTAGATACCTAAACTTTCCTTGCCTGTAACCATAAAAATATAGTAAGTACAATCACTCACCACCAACAACAGGGCTCCATTCTGAGAAACACTCCCTCAGGTGCTTCACCATGTGACCATCAGGGTGGACTTACAACAAGCTTCCACACTACAGTCTACTACACACCTAGGCTCTATGGCACAACCTGTCGCTCCAAGGCTAAAAACCTGTACAGCGTTACTATCCTGAACACTGCAGGCGAATGTAACGCACTGGAAAGTATTCCTGTATGTAAACAGAGATAAGGTACAGTAAAAAATACAGGGCAACAGGAATTTTTAAACTCCATTACAATTTTACAGGACCACCTGCATATGTGCTGTCCATCGTTAACTGAAACAGCACTATGGGGCACGCAACTCCAATTTCAAAATTTACGAAATTCAATAGTTCTGTCACGTAGTCTGGGTTACACAGTGTAGAGAAATAAAATTGTGTCTTACCTTTAGTCCATTCTGGGGGTTCATTAGGAAATTTCTTCCTATGTCATCAAACATAATGGTATTTTTTTTGCTGTAAAACTCGGAAAACTTTCCCCATATGACACCAAGAGGCTTTACCTTAGAACAGAAGTTTAGATTTAACTCAGACTTTATCAACAGTCCATCCTTTCTTAAAGCAGAATGATGCCAGAGTCCATGAACTCTCAATCCTGCTGCCTAGGTCCAAGTGCTGCAATTACAGGCATGTGACATTCCCTGGGCTCATTTCTATTTGTGAATTTGATGATCTGAATACCACCTCCCCTAAGCTTTCCTAGTACCCGAGTTCTCCCCAATTCCTACTAGCCCGTGTGCTTTCAAAGGGCATGGGTTATGTTTCCCTCACCTCTAGTTACCAATGGCCCATCACAGCCCCTCGTACATAGTTAGTGCTCCATCCCATGAGGAGTTACTTGATGAGTAACAAAGGGAAAACCCCTGGCCAAGCATGATGGTTCACGCCTGTAATCCCAGTTACTTAGGAGGCAGGAGGATTATGAATTCAAAGACAGACCAGGCAAAGTTGGCAAGACCCTATCTCAAAGACAAGATACAAACAAAGAGCTGGAGGTATGGCTCAAGGGAAGAGTGCCCACCTGTCATGCGGGAGGCCCTGGGTTCAATCCCTAGTATTGCATATAAATAAACAAAAGTGAGATCTCCTTATTTTTTAGCCCAATCTTCTTCTTTGATGGCTCTTGGGCTACATATGCATCACCCCAGAGTATCCAAATACAACATCCATGTTTTAGTACCAGCTTCATCCAGGACAAGGGTGTTCTGCTTTGTCTCTATTTTCCTTGATTGAGTGTAATATTTTTCTCACCTCTCTACCTGGCAACATTTTACTGCCATCATCACAGAACAATTAGCCTTACCCACGAATTCCTTTCTTGATGGTCCTACTTCAAGATCCTTAATTGTCTCAAATCTTTAATCTTAAATTCATTTTTCTACATAAAAACTCAAGCTGCCACTTTACTATCCTCTTAGATGAACTTTAAACACTTTCTGTAGGCTTTATTTTTCTATCGATGTAAATTCAAAAAGCACAGTAGGAAATAAGCATGTCTAAATAAAAGTAAAAGGAGTTCTTACATCTATTAACCCTCTCCTTGGGGTGTGTACTGTTATCATAGCAGCACTGTCCAACATGAAGGTAATCTTGTAATTTGCATTTGTGCTCACTCCCAGCTCCTATAAACACAAATGTTCATGAGGTTAAAATGTAATAATTTGGAAATTTCCAGGCTTTCTCAGTATTCCAGCTGCAATTTCCCAAAATGTCAACTTTCTACACTACTGACCACCACATGTTGCTAAACAACTCTCAAGTGTTTTAGCTTCACTTAACTAAGTCAATCAGTAATGCAGGTTACTTCCCATCTGACTGTCCTAGGGAAGCACTGCCTCTTCAGTATTACACACCAGAGCAAAAGGCAAGGAAGTATTATTGTAATGTGGGGGAAAAAAGGAGGAGCTTAGCGTGCTCATGAAAACAGCATAGGCATTCAGCACAACCCAGCACTAAACAGACTGAACATAGCCTTTTTTATCTGCTAAATGTCCTCCAGTAAGGACACTGATTCAGTTCCACAACTTTTAACATGACAAGTGCACTTACAGAACATTTTTAAATGGTTTGTTTCTAACACTTACTTTCATTTTAGCTTCAATCCACTTCATATTTGTTGCAGCTAAAACATAAGGAATAACAGAATACATATGAAAAGCTTGAATTTCATTTTAAAAATCTTTCAGTAAGGTTTCAAAGCAAGACAAAACGCATCACAACTAACAGTCCCTAGCCTGGTTATGACACTCTTCTTTTAAATATTTGTTTTTAAACTTATTTTAATTCTGGAAAGAATTAAATAATTTTTAACTATAAGATACAGGTAACCAATGTTTGAAAGAACTGTGAATATAGTAAACTGATAAATTAAGACACAAACTCCCTTTTAAAAATTAGCTCTGCCACTGTTCCCTATCAATTCCAAACTGAAGTCTGGGATGCCTGGACCTCAACTTTCCTCCATGTTTCTAATTCTACGCAATGTACAAGCATATACAGCATGTCAATATAAGCATATTAACATTATGTGTCAAAATTTCTATTGAAGGCTAGTTAGGTCCAGTGAAAACCTGTATTTCGTCAGGTTAGTAAATGTAATGCTCACTGAGTCCAGCAGCTTGTAACAAAGAAACTGAAACAAATTCAGAAAGTTTACCTCTGTTACATACTTGCTCACTGTGAGCTGTGAACCTCTTTGCTTTTCATCTGGAAATTATAGGCATAAAACAGGTGTTAAATTAAAATTTTTTTCCTTGTCTTATGACTATTTGTAGATATAGCAGTCTCTAAAATTTAGTTCAGCTGACCGGTTTTCATGTAAGCTTCTTATATGCTTCTTGTGTGTGTGTTGTGTATGTATATACACACACACTTTAAACTGCCTTTTCACTCTTTTAAAATATTTACTTTGGGGGTACATGCTAGCTAAGTGATCTGTCGCTGAGCTATACCCTTGGTAATACCTATATAATTTAGTCCAGTAATTTAGGACCAGGAGTGCTAAAAAATGAAAACTTTCAAATTTAGTAACAGGTCTTTTAAATTCATGCTTTATAGAACAAAATAATATAAGGAACAACCATATTCCTATGGAAAGCTAACAAAAGAAATACAGCTTACACCAAATAACAATGTCATAATCTTCATATGCAGATGTTAGAAATTCATGAAGATATGGCCTCATTAATTCTACTCCAGTCTCTGCACAAGACCTATGATCTAAAAGAAAATTGATTATAGATGATTATTAGATAATCATGGAAAGTGCTCAACAGCAATCAAATTATGAAATACAACTTGTTATGAAATGTAACATATCCAATTGCAAACTACTTCATACTGAATTACACTGGGTGACAAAGAGATGCTTTTCAAAACATACAATTTAATTTCTTCAAGATTCAATTTTAATTGGTCAATTTTGCTCAGTGGATAAAGAAAAATACTGAGAATTCAGGCTTAAGTAGTAAATTATAAATTTTCATCTCATCTAGTTTAGATGTTATTTTATGACAATGAAAAGCAAAGTAGCCCCTCACATTTAGTCTTAACTTTGCAGGTGTAATTACATTCTACAAAAATGACAGGCCCTATTAACTTATTAAGTCTAAAAATAAATGTACATTAAGCTATGACATATATTAAAATTTAGGATTAGAAGTGAATAAATTTTACTATCAGGAGTTAACTATTTCCTGCCAGTACTAAAGAATGAAGTGAGCATATTTCTTTTTCAACTGACATGATAAATATTAAATTCAAGAAACTGACTTATTCTTAATTAGAAAATAAGAAATAAAGTATCAAAAAATGATTTCTTAAATAGTCCTCATAAAAATTTAAGTGTTAATCAATCAAGATTGACTTAAATTATGATGCACCTACAACTAGAAAATCTATGGCCAAATATATGTACATATAGATAGATACACATATATGTATATGCATTTAACTCATATGAATATTTAATGACTGAGATGAAGTTCAACCTATCATTAAATAAAAGAAATAAAGGAGATACATACAAACACACTAGAAGATATACATGAAAATATTAAGAGTGATCATCTTTAGGTCTCGAAAACACAGATGACTCCTCCTTTTGCTTATCTGTATTTCCTACAATGAATGATTTACTTTTGTAATAGTAAGGAAAGCTTTCAAATATTTCCTGTGAACCCTGAGTTGCTGAAAAAAAAAAAAAAGGAAAAACAAGTTGTTATGGGTTATAAAAGATTAGAAGCACTATTAAGTGACTTACCAAATAATGTATAATCAACATCTAGCACTAAAAGCTTTTTTCCTTCCCTGGGAGGATTCAGTATTTCCACTTTGTACTCTTTTACTCTGCGTGAAATTTTTAGTAGGTTTTCTTCCCTAATGAAAAAAAAAAAAAAAATCAGGTAAAACGTGCACTTTTTTTCACGTAACCATTTCTTCTAAAGTAAAAAAAAAATGTAGTAGACAGCAGGTAGAGACTGAGGAACCAAGCGGGCGAGGGGACAGAAACTTACCTGTTTTCTACTTCAACTACTTCATCTTCAATATCAAAGTCATTGACAACATCATCATTGTCAGGGGGTGGACCTAAGACATCTTCCTATTAAGATGAGAAAAAGCTTTGTTTTACCATACTACCTTTAACACAACAAATAATATACTTAGAATAAAAATCAAATGATGTACAATTTCAGTCTTTCAAATACACACTGTGGGAAAATTTCCATAATTAATAACTCATATATGTCCCTTAAGCAGTTTACTGTATTAAATTTGACCATTTGGGCTACTACTATGCTTATAGCTGACTATATACTAAAAAGTTCCCCCGTATTTATCTCCTATTAATACTGCATTACTATGCAGATTTTAATTTCATTGACCACTAGACTGACAATTTCACCATAATTAAAACTATGATATAACAGTGTAGTATAAATCACATCTTCAAAGGGACAAATGGTAACAAAAGTAAACATTTACCAAGCTCTCCTCACGAGTTCCCATCATCATGATTTTAGTATTTGGTTTCAGTTTGAGAGCTCCAAGCTTAACATCATTTTCTGCAGGTTTGCCTACAATACAAGCAAATGACTGTTTTCTCACTAAAGTTCAGGTGCTGGTTTCATGATTCCATTATATAAAACCCTAACATTAACAGATTTGGTACAAATGCCACAGCAGTTTTTTTGTTTTGTTTTGCTTTTTTCCTTATATCAACTAACTCATATTCCTGCATCAGTCACATGTAAGATAATAGTGTGTCACAAGTGTCACAAGCATGACAAGGGCTGTTTTCCCCCAATCCATCTTAGAAGAACACCTCTATCCAACTAAACAAAATAATTCATGTTTTATTTTGTCATTTAGGAAGAACATAAGTCTTTTCCAGAGGCCTTGAAAATTCAATGCCTAACATAAATCTATAGATTTACTATTAATCAAAACTTACCCTTCAATGATAGGACAAATGCAAACATTATAGAAATCCCTTTTAAGTAAACACTGCCAATAAATTTTAAACATCATCTTTCCTTCTGAAACAGAAGAGATAATTTGGGGAAAGTACAAGGCACAGTTGTAATGAAAACTGCTAAAACACAGATCTCAGAAAAAAATGAGCTGTACCTGGGACTCCTCTGTCAGTTTTAACAAGCAAACACCAATGTCAGAGGAATCAAAAGTAATCTTAATAGTTCTGTTTTCAAGTAACCATCCATATTCTTATTTTTACCACTAAGACAATTTTAGGACTATCCCTATCAAAGAGATCTTGAAAGAGGAAGGCTTATTAGAGAAAACAATAGATAATGGCAAATATAAAAACTCAGAAACATCAATGCAAAAAATGTGAAGTGGGGACAGAATTACCTTTAACCTTGAGTCCAAGTAATTTCTGGCGCTCTGGCAGCACTCCTGTAAGGGTCTTGAGAAACTGTTTGAGATCCAGCACAGTATCGTCTTCTGAAAGGGTGGTCACTGAATATTCCTGTCCACCCCATTTTACGATAATTGGGAGAGCCATTCTTGAAGCATATGAGGCAGCTTTCCTTCAAAATAAAAATGCCTAGGAAGAAAGTCATGTACCAATGAGCAAGTTAAAATGGACATATCAAAGACAAACTTGTAACTGTTTTATAAGCATGTGCAGTTGAGAAACAGATGTCTCTCCTTACAAAAGTACTTCCAGAACCCTAAAAATTACTAGGATTCAAAAGTTAAAATTACTACACCCTCCCAGTTTTTCAGATTCTCTCTGTTGTTCAAGTGGAAAGGTGTAATACTGAAATGCCTATACCTGTTCTATTTGGTCAGGTTTGTGCTACAGGCAAGCTCATCCATGAGAGACCATCCTCATTCACTTACCATTTGAGGGGCAGTGTAGTATAGTGATTTGAAGCAGACTCTAAAAGTCAGGATTCAGACTCTAGCTTTCCAACTTACTAGGTATTTGACTGGGGATGTTGACTTTTATTGCCTATATTTCCTCATCTGTCAAATCTGGTTGACAATACCACCTACTTCTTAGGGTTCTTGTGAGGATTAAATTTGTGAATATTTGTAAGTCACATAGTGCCTGCCACATGGTAAGTGCTACATAAGTAAGCATTGATTAAATAAATTAAAAATTAAAAGCTATGTTTCAGGCATTGTGCTAGATAACTAATGAGCCATTATTTGTTTTATATTTTATGAATTGGTGAATTTTACGCAGATTATCTCATTTAACAAGGTTCTTTCATAAAGTGTTTCCTCCTCTGAAACTGAAGAAACCGGAGTCCTCAGAAGCTATCCAATCTGTTCATGAGTACATTGCAGGTAACAGAAAAAGTCTTCTACATTCCCTACACCATGATTCTCTCTCAAATTGGATCTATAGAAGTTAAGACATTCAAATACAGCAAACACAAAATCCACAGGCACTGATCCCAGCACACAAATTTTACATGACAGCTGCTCCTCTCATCAACAACCAAATGTAGGCCACCTCCCTCAAAGCTTTCCAATTTTCATAAGCTCATTTCTTCCCCACAGGTCAGAAAACCATATTTTCTCAATTTGAAGTATTCATATTTCCAAATGCTTTCACTTGTTTGAGGAAACATTTGATTACAATATTCACACAATTATTATGACCAACTGAAAGAGAGAAGGCAGATTTTGACTCTCAATATGCAAAACTAATTTGGAAATAAAGCATCTTCTATTGACATGCCCAGTAGCAGAGAACCATAAATTCATAGTTATACTTATATAAATGTTCCACATTTATACTCATATTTATATTTACTCTTATGTTTATTATTTGATCTACTTAAAATGTAAAGCAAGTGTGACAATTTAGGGCCACATATGCCATTTTAGACAGAACTTGCTCTAACAAATATTATGATCTTCAATAAAAAGACATGGTCTTAAGGATCAAACTGAAACATACCTTAAATATTATTTTTTCTATACAAGATAGAAATATGAATGATTACTTACAAGAGCTAGGAAGACATCCAGCATTAATATATATTGTAATGGGCAAAGCAGAGTTTGAAATAAGAGCAACTGAATTCCAGGACCATGGACAAGTCATTTATCTTTTAGACTAGTGGTTCTCAAAATGTGGTTCCTGAACCAACCAACACCATTGGTCTAGCTTGGTAACTTCTTTGAGACGTAATCAGAGGTGGAGAGAAGCGACCCAGCACTTTGTGTTTTACCCAGCCTCATCTCACCATCTCTGATGCCTGCTAAAATTTGAGGCTCTTCAACGTTCTCAGCCTTAAAAACAAAACTGTGACAGACATGTAAATTCCAAGTGCTTAACAAGCAGCTTACACACCTTATGAAGCACCTCTGCCACAGTGGGAACTTAAGTTAGCAAAGCAAATACCCTAATAGACCAAGCATCAGAAAGTAAACAGTATTTAAAAATTTTAAATTCAAAAGTCCTTATGTCTGGTTTTAAAAGTTACAGAACCCCATTTCATCACTACTTGGATCATGCATGTCAAAGAAGTCCCATGATATAAATGCATGAGCTGTTTTCTGTTTTCACATTCAACCTTTTTCACACAATTCTAGAATTTTGTATCATTTAGGATCCCATCAAATTTATAAGATGAAAATGACTGGGGGCGGGAAGGGGCAGTAACAATCAAACCCAAACAAGCAACCAAAGAGCACAACTTTGGAGCTACCTAAGAACACCTGTTTAGACTGGTGTTCTTCTGCCTAACATACACGTTGATTTGGCCTAGTCAAGTCCTATCTCTGGGCCTCAGCTTTCTCAACCACAAGATGAGGCAATTAATAGTTACTTGTCAAGAACAATGTCAAGGCAGAAGCTAAGTGCTATGACAGCACTTTCTAAGCTGGAAAGAGTAATATGAATGGTGGTGGTGTAAGCAATTTCACTGAATTCTCATTTAATCTTCACAAGCCTCATCATACAGACCATGCACCCGAGAAAAAATAACTTGCCCAAGACCACACAACTACAAAGTAGCAAAGGTGGCCATCTGAAATACAGCAGCAAAAGTAACACTTCGGGAGCGGGCCGAGGGGGTGGGGGAATGACTTTTCAACCAGGTGGCTGTGCGGTGTGGTTCACTCCTGGCCAGGACAGCTCACCGCAGCACAGCCGGGTGAGGTGACCCGCATGGGACAGGAGACAGTAGGTGGAGACTGCGGAACCAAACGGACGAGGGGACAGACAGACACGCCCGGGAGGACGGAGGAATGAAGTCTGAAGGACGCAAAACATTCTAGGTCGCGGGGAGCCCTGGAAATAGGCGAGAAGGATGGACACTACTAGCCATTCGGAGGCCTGAGCGTGGGATGAAGCCAGATTCAGTCCTCAGCCCGCGGTAGTCCGCCGCGGAGCAAACGACAAGACGCAGGCAGCAAAGCCAAGTCCCCAGCCTAACGTCGCCTCTGCTGGCAGGGCGCCACGGTAACCCGCGCCCGCTCACCTGGAGAGCAGCGGAAGCAGCTGCAGCAGACGCAGAGGGACCGCGGCGGAACCAGAGGCGACCGGAAGTAGTGGGCGGACCGGAACCGGCTGAAAACCGGAAGTGGATGTTTGAAACGGAAACGCTTTGGAGACGCGGAAGCTGCTTCCGGCGTTTCTCTTCCGAGGCGAATTGTAAATAGCGACTGCCTAGAATCGCCACCAGGCGACGAGGGAGACAAGCTTTTGCTAGACTATGACTCCTGTGCAGATGCCAGTGATTTCTGGGTAGCATCTGCTCGCGGCAGTTTTGCGCATGCGCCCGGCGGTGGTGGCGGATGCGCCGGAAGTGCGGTGACTCGGGTATTGTTCTGCCGAAGTCGGAGTGGGGTGGAGTGCTGGCTTCTGCAGGTGTGCTGAGATCCTGTGGGCCTCGGAGCTATGACTCGTGTAGCTGTGCCCTGTACTGAATAAGGCTGGAAAGGTGACCTTGGCGAACTGAAGATTTGAGACCTTTCTATAGCCGCGGGCCCCCCAACACTAAACACTCCAGGGGCTTAGAATTTTATCGGTCCTAGGGAAGGGTGGGGAGCCCCGTGCGAGGGAAGGAACCAGCCGGAGGGACTGAGACACCCAACGAAACAGATCTCAGTGGGAGAGCAGCGATGGAGATTGCTATAGTGTATCTTATCTTATCTCCCCCACCTGTCCCCATTTCATCCCATCTTCTTTCTGAAATGCTGACAGAAGGATTTCTTTTATGGAAATCCAAAGCAGACTCATCTGATCCACACAGGGACTTCTCGGCCTCATTTGAGTTGTTACGAAGAAGTTAAAAATGAAGTTAAAAATTTTAAGTCATCCCCGCTAGGTTTGTGTGTTTGATGCCTTATAAAACTTCACTTTTAAAAAAAGGAAGGACAAAACCTGAAATTAATATTGGTCACAAGCGTGCACCAGTCTGAATTTACTTGTGTTTTTCCTTTGAATCCACAGAGATGGTAACTATGTTCCGTGATTGGCAGTGTCACAAAGCAAGCAAAAAGCCAATTTTTGTGTCTTTAACATTTCTTTAATTAAGAATAACACCATTTTACATCTTCCCTTACTTTTTTGGTAATATTTTTTTTTTACTGCACTACTAATGTATGGCTCTGCTCATTTAAAAACTTAAACGTCTTAGCCAGGTGCCGGCTGCTCACTCCTGTAATCCTAGCTCACTCAGGAGTCAGAGATCAGGAGGATCACTGTTCGAATCCAGTCCCCAGCACGAAAAAAAGGCTGGCAGAGTGGCTCAAGGGTTAAGAGTGACTGCCTTGCAAGCGTGAACCCCCCCCCCAAAACCCAGTACTGCCAAAACCCAAAAAACTTAAAAACATCTCTTCTTTAAAAAAACATTTTAAAAAGGGTGGGAGGCCTAGGAAAACACTAAATTTAAAAAATAGTACAAAAAAATCATACAGTAACTGTTAAGCCACAAAGACCATCCTAAGAAAAGGGACTGATCTCCAGAATGAATAATAATTTTTTTTCAACCCAATCTCTCTTCCTTGCTTTGTTCACTCCCTAACTAGCTGCTTGGCCACTTTATAGGTTTACCTTTGTGATTAGAGAAGTTTGTGTTTGTTAACCACCATAGTCAACTAAAGCGCTTAAGCTTCTCTAATATTGACACAGCAACACTTCATCTGGAGGTTCTTGTTTTTAATGGTAGAAAAGTCATATTACACAGGTCTATGAAGTTAGGGATTACTAGAGCCAATAATTTCATAGTTGCCAAGTGTTGAGCAGTATTTCTTAAAAGAATTAGAGTAGCAGACTTTTTTTTGATAAATAACCCTTTCAGTTTATCTTCTCCTATCTCACTTAGTTCCTCTAAGTACTTTTTACCCCTCCTGTTCTAGGGATTGAAACTAGGGCCTTGTGCATGTTAGGCAAGCACTCTTATCTCTGGCTGCGCTCCCAGTCCTTGCCTCCTTGACATGTGGTGAGCTCTGTAACCCAAGTTAGCCTTGAACTCATAATCCCCCTGCCTCTGCCTCCCAAGTACAGGGACACATACCTCCCAACCAACCTTCCAAGTCCATTTCTATTTAGATAAACATTCAGGAAGTAAAAAAAGTAATGTTAAGAACACACTTATGGTAGAGCAAAAGGCATTATTTTAGTAAAGATACTAGACCCTTGGTAACTGGGAATGACTACAAAGTGGAGCTAGGAAAGGACTCACAACAACTCAACGAGTACCAATAAAAAAGAGAAAAATGAAAAACTTCTGTATTCTGTTGCTCCCTGAAACCTCTCTTCTAATGCTTGGAGAATAATATACTTGTCTTTCACTAATGTTTTTTGCAACAACCGAAGCTGCCTGGGAGATCGGTTGTTGCCCGGTCTAAGAGACTAAAAGAAATACAGAGCTAGGTTCACAAAATCAGAAAGTGAACTTCAGGTAAAACTATGACCATATTTTAATATAAAAGGGCATTCTGCTCCTGAGCCAGAAAGCTGATGCTGTTGTGGTTTTATCTCCATGTCTCCCAGACCTGCTTATTCCCTTTTTTCCCTCAGGCTATTTCTTCCTCTACTGACTGCCTTCTCTTGCTGAGCTCAGATCTACCACCCTTATAAGGTTTCCTTCTATAGGACTGGAAAATAGGTACTGTTGGGGGGTGCGGGTAATTGTGGAAGAGAAGAGGGTGAATGAAGGAGATGAAGCTGAGGGAGTATGGTTAATGAACTTCATATATACAAAATAGAACAATGAAATCTCTTGAAATTACTTTGAGTGGGGTGGGGAGGGGTCATGCTGGGAGTGACCTAACCAAAGTACAAGGTAAGTCTATTCGGCATTGTCACAATGAATCCCCCTTGTACAATGAATATATGCTAATAAAAATGAAGCAAAACAAAAGCTTTCCTTCTCCCAGTTGTAAGGCAATCTTTTTATTTTTGCTTGTTTAGTTCAGTGTCTCACTTTTATTTCTCTCTCCTAATACTGACTCTCCTAGCTTTTTTCTTGCCTGTAATCAAGGAGCTAAAAATGGTTGCAATCTTCTCCACAGGACAAATTCTCAGGCTCTTAACTAAGTCTGGAGTGTTACTACCCATATCTATTCAACTTGCTTTCCCAAAACAGCCACTTAAAACTTCCCCTGTCTTCAAATTGCAGACTTTCTGATTTACTTGCTTGCTCTAGGCAGATGACATTGTCCTATGTTTTGGCAATTCTTCCCCAAACCTTTCTAAATCTTAAACTTACCTGAATCTGTACTCATCCTCAAGTCTTTCTGGATTTGTTTTGTTGGTTTTTTTTTTGTTTGTTTTGTTTTGTTTGCAGTCCTGGGGTTTGACCGCACCTTGAGCCATTTCACTAGCCCTATTTGTGTGTGTGTGTGTGTGTGTGTGTGTGTGTGTGTGATGATTTTCTTTGAGATAGGTTCTTGCAAACTATTTGCCTAGGCTCTCTTTGAACCACTATCCTGATCTCTGCCTCCTGAGTAGCTAGGATCGTAAGCATGAGCCACCAGCTCCCAACTCTTTCTGCTGCTTTTGAAATTTATGGAGTATCCCTCTACTTGAAGCAAATGCTTATACTTATGTTCTGGTGCCTTCCTTTTCTGGAAGCTTTCTATAAATCCAGTATCCCCTTCTCAGGCATGTGTATGTATACATATATATGCAATATACACTGTTTTTATTAGCATATGTTAATCATGAAAAATAATGAGTTTAATCACGACATTTTTGTACAGGCATATCATCTTCACCCCAAACATTGTACTTTTGCCCTCCCTCCCACTGGATCCTTCCCTTTACCAAATACTATACTATGACACCATCTACTTCTATGTCCTTTTTTAACATCTAGATTTTTAGATGAGAGAAAACATACAATATTTGACTGTCTTAGTGTGGCTTGTTTTACCTAACATAATGATGTCCGGTTCTATCTATCTTCCTGAAAATGATACAGTTTTGTTCTTTATGACTGAATAAAATTCCATTGTGTATATAGACCAGATGTTCTTTATGCATTCATCTGTGGACGAGCACCAAGGCTGGTTCCATAATCTGACTAGTTTAAATAGTACTGTAATAGCTGTGTGTGCAGGGATCTCTATCATTTGCTAACTTAGATTCCTTTTGGGTATAGACCCAGGAGTGGTACAAGTGGGTCATACATGGCAGTTCTATTTTTATTCTTACTGTGGTAATTGTTTTGTTGTCAGAAGTTTTGTAATACCACTTGTCAATTCTTGCTATCATTTCCTGAACTTTTGGAGTCCTACTCAGAAAGTTCTTGCGTTTACCTATCTTTGAGTGTTTTCCCCTAGCAGTTTCAAAGCTTCAGATATTTCATGAAAGTCCTTGATCCATTTTTAATTGAGTTTTGTACATGGTGAGAGATAGGAATCCTGTTCTACAGTTTTTCCAGTACCACTTGTACAACAGACTGTCTTTTCTCCAATGTATATTTTGAGTATCTTTGTCAAAAGTCAGATGGCTGTTGTTGAGTGATTTTATTTTATTCTGCTTATATGCCTGTCTTTTTTTATACCAAAGTATCTTCTTTTTCATTATCTCATAATAGTTGTACAGGGGAATACATTGTGACATTGACATATATCATAATTACAATATATCATAATTAGATTCACTCCCTCCACCATTCTCCCTCATTCCCCTCCCCTGCCCTCTTAGAACAATTTCAGCAGGTTTCATTGTTATATTTTCATACATGAATACAAAATACGTCACCCATATTCACCCTCTTTCACCATTTCCTTATGCCCTTTCCCCACCCACTGGTATCCATCTCCAGACAGAACATGTTTTACCTTCCTGTTCTTTGTTTTTTTAATGTATATTGATTGTTCAGTGGGGTCTCACTGTGGTATTTCAGACATGTATATATCGTGCTTTAATCAGATCAACCCCTCTTATTACTCGTTCTGTATCACCTGCTCCCCTATTGTTCAGCAGCCTGCAGTGCATTGTATGAGATTACATTCATACACAGAGGCAAGATTTCAACTTTCACTCTCCAACGTTCTTGTTCCCTCTCCTGTAGCCCCTCAGACAGACCCACTAGTACAA